CTTACTGAAAAACATGATAAAATTTAAATCATTAAAAAAAACAGACCTGAGACCAATTGATACTCAAACAACATAATTTGTTAGCATGATGCTTTAAATTTCATACTGTATAATAATTAAATGAATCGAGGTCCGGATAATCGAGGTTTGGCTGTACTGACTTATGACCAATTGCTTATGACTAATAACAATGCAATGTGCTCTCCTTTGTTACAGCATTATCAAGCAGTGCTTATGAAAAGATTTGTCTTTTGTTCAACATTGGTGCCTTACAAAGCCAGATAGCCAGTGCACAAAATCTAAATTCAGAGGATGGTGTTAAACTAGCAGCAAAGATGTTCCAGGTACTAGCATAGATACCATATGGTAACATGAAATGTTGAGATGACATTAACTTCAGCCATTTCACAGGAAGCAGCTTTAATAAAGATAAATACAAAAACTCATACATAATTAATGAGTTATTAGGCCAATAGAATGAGCCTATTTGGTCACATGCATGAACCTTTATATCTGATAAAACACTCCTTATTAGTATTCTTTATATAGTAAGGATGACCTTTATCAGATATAAAGGTCCCTGACTCTAGCAAAGGTCTCAGGAAACTTGATACCTGACCATTGACCAGGATGTCAACCGATTGCTGTAAACAGTCAAGAGCGGTTCTATTTTACTTTATGCGTATTCAATGTGGGATGACAAAAGTACTTTTTAAAGTGATTCGCACATGATCAGTTTGCCCCATTTACATGTATCTCAAAACTTATTTTTATGGCAATTTCTCCAAGAATTTTAACAGCTTTGAGTTTCAAATTAGTGTTGGAGTTTTTGAAGCCGTTTACATGTAAAACACTCGAGATCATGTTTTATCAAGTATAAAGATTCTTGCCTTCGGCTTGAATCTTTGTACCTGATAAAACACTCTCTCTCGTGTTTTAAAGTATAGTTTAAAACACGAGAGACAGTGTTTTATCAGGTATAAAGATTCGAGCCGAAGGCGACAATCTTTATACCTGATAAAACACGATCTCGAGTGTTTTAAAGGGACACTGTCAATGGATGACATGCGCAGTATTTTGTGGTGCTTTTGACACACTTTGGAATATTCTAGATCTGTTTACGTTTACGATCTGATTTATGTCGCGCCAACTTGGAGTCATAAACTTGAAAACACTAGCCTAGTGTTTTCAAGTTTACTCGCGCATGTCATCCATTGACAGTGTCCCTTTAAACGGCTTCAAAAACTCCAACACTAGTTTGAACCTCAAATCCGTTAAAATTCTTGGAGAAATTGCCGTAAAAACAAATTTCAAGATAAATGGGGCAAACTGATCATGCGCGAATCACTGTACAAAGCACTATTTTCATCCCACATTGAATACGCATAAAGTAAAATACAAGCGCTGTTGGCTGTTGACTGAAATCGGTTGACATCCTGCATTGGTCAATGATCAGGTATACAACCTAAGACCTTTGCTAGGGTCATGGACCTTTATATCTGATAAAGGTCACCCTTATTAGTATTCTTTATATAAAGAATACTAATAAGGAGTGTTTTATCAGATATAAAGGTCCATGCATGTGACCAAATAGGCTCATTCTATTGGCCTAATAACTCATTAATTATGTATGAGTTTTTGAACTATACGTAAAAACCTGCATACAAGAACACACAGTTTAGAACTGAGTTTTCCTGGTTATTTTTTTTATGCATGTAAATACATAGCCAAGACCATAATGTGTATTTTATACAATGAAACATTCTCAAATATGTCAATGAATGTAGAATGCAAGTGGGTCTTTCCAAATGCTCAAAGATATGGTGTTTCCCCAACTGCATCAAGTGCCAACACCAGACCTATCATTAGAGATGCTAAATGCACTGAGCAGYGTCATGCTTGCACAGGGTCAGGAAAGTATCTGGCATAAAACTGAAAATGGTATGTTGGAATATTGTCTGTCTTTCACGACATATGTTAGTCAATATAATTAAACTGTGAGCTCCTGGCTCACTACAGACCATAATGATCCCCTTATAGATAAAATGAAATCAGCCATTATTGCAAAAGTTGCTGCCCAAACATCAGACTTGTACAGAGAAGCACACCAGGCATGTGAAGTTACAAATGTCAAGCAACAGTTAGAAAAGGTAAATCATCTACTCCATGAATTTTCAAACCACTATGATGTGACTCTTAGTCTAACTRATGTCTTAGTTATGTAAAAAGATAAATTTAACGGAGTAAGACCAATGATTGATGTCCGAAACGTCAGTAAGTTA